TGGGATCCCCCTGGAGTACCCAAACCCATTTGGGATTCTCCAAGTTGTCGTCAAAGACCCGGCCTCTGAACTGTGCCTCGTTGATATACCATACCCTTGGCTTGGCATCACATTCAACAAACATTGATTGTTTGAGTGTCATTTTCCTTCTTGTTTCCACGACTAAGGGGCAGTGCATTCCCAGAAGTCCCCTGTTTCTGCATTTAAAGCAGAAGGGATTTCTTTTCGTGGAAATAAACACGTTTAATTTCTGTCCATTTTTTCTGAAGATCCAAACATCTGGAAATTTTGGGGATGTACCTGACGATACTTCCAGGCAAGCCACTCTTGCATCATGGTTTGGGGCAGTGCATCCTAGATGTCCCCTGTTTTCGCATTTAAAGCAGAAGGGATTTGTTTTCGTGGAAATAAACACGTTTAATTTTTGTCCATTTTTCTTGAAGATCCAAACATTTGGAAATTTTGGGGATGTGCCTGACGATACTTCCAGGCAAGCCACTTTGGCATCATGGTTCAGGGTCACGGACTCCAGGTTTGTTGGCGACCAATCGATGATTGGGTTGGAAGGATACTCCTCTTGAAGCCTTTTCTACACGGAACTATGTAGGCCTTCGGACAAGTGTCAGAGCATACCTAGAAATGGTTTTTGAGCAGCGTGTGACAATGCCTGGATGCCTCCGCTTGGGGCTCCCTAGGTGGTTTCCATGATTCCTCTTGAAGCCTTTTCTGCATGGAACTGTGTAGGCCTTCGGACCAGTTGTCAAATTGTACCCAAAAATGGTTTTGAGCATCGTCTGACGATGCCTGGATGCTTCGCTTGGGGCTCCCTGGGTGGTTTCCATGATTGGATCATGACCACCGATCCTTTGCATTTCTTTTTTTTTTTTTTTTTTTTTTTCCGAACAACCCGAGTGAATGCTAGGGGCGCTGATAAGAGCAGACGCCTCTAGCATGCTCGGGGAGGCTCCATCTATTGGTGGGGAGCAACACCTGCTGGAAAAGGTCCCACTGACACGCGGGCACGCAGCATTAGCCTAATGAGCAGCGTCGATTGCCCTCAACCGAGGGATCGGCTGCCCATCACTCTGTAAGATCATATCCCTACTCAGAAATCCTCATCGTTAATAAAATCTTGCAGCACCATGAGGAGGGGAGGAGACAATCCAAATAGGGAAACTATCGCTAAAAACACACACGTAGCAGAGCCCTGGTACCCCCACTGCACCGCCTTGCCAGCCACATGGCGAATCCTAGTATTTTTACCACAGGGATATGACCCCCCGGGTAGCTTAGCAAAAAATCGAAATCATATAGGCATGCCACGTGGCCACCCCGATATAAACGAAGAAATTCGTCCGAGCGGCAACGCAGGCACATATGTGTAACTAGTGAACATCATTGATTACCCTCAATAGAGGGGATCGACTGCCCACCCCAGCATGGATTCATACCCTACCCTAAAATACTCATCTACCACCCAAAAACCATACAGCACCATGAGCAGAAGGGGCAATCAGAGCAGGCCTCCCTAAAAGCTAAAAACCTAATAGCCACGTGGCGGATTCCAAATGATTCGCACACTGAAAAAATTATGTAGCGCCGCTTCCCCCGACACTTCCTGTCCCTGCCACCTGACAAGAAACCAGACATCACGTTTGCAGGCCCTAATGACTCATACACTGTTGGCTCGTGGCTAGAACTACCCTATTACCACATGGCAACCAACAGATGTGGTAAGACAATCCAATATCTATCCCACCCCCTCGCGCACCCATCCCACCCCTAGCTCTCCCCCACGCCCTTCCAATATGTTGAACGAACCATTCCAACAGCCCTCGCGCCCTCCCCCCGGGTCATCAACACGATTACAAAGGAGAAAAAACACTGGGGGAGAGAAGGGGGAGGGGGAGAGAACGGAAACCCCTACCACACTTACCAAACTGTCGTTGTTGGTATTGTTCATGTTGTTTTTGTTGTTGTTGTTGTTGTTGTAATTGTTGTTGTAATCTAGTGTGCACGAACTCACAATTTCCACGCTTGTACCAGTGTCATGCTCAACAGTCATGGTGTTGCTGGCGCCCACGATCCCTGCTTCGTGGTTGCTGTTGGTGTTGTTGTTGTTATTGTTGTTGTTGTTGTTGTTGTTGTTGTTGTCGCGCGCACCCGAGCTCACGATCCCTATGTTTGTACGACGGACCTGCACGAATGTGTTGTTGATGTTGT